TTACTGTGTGATAAAGGGCACGATTAGTTATAATACGCAAAGACTCAATAAGTCTTTGAATCAAATTGTCAATTTCCTTTTGTTGATGTTGCTCATCTTTAACATTGTTATTAACATTATTACTATCTGAAGGTTTTTGATTTTCAGATTTTTGACTTGATAATAACTGTATTTTTTCTTTATTTGCCATCATCCTAGTCTCTTTACAACATTGATATACAGCCACCTTACATATAATAGTGTTCAACAAATGTATTATTTGATATGGCATTTTTTTACTAATCAACAGAAATGATAATATGTGTTTTTGATATAATGCATGAGTATTGTTTTTCAAATCATTAGGATCATTCCATCCAAGAAGTTTCTCAACAACTTGAGGTTCTATCATACATATTATTATTTGTTGTAGAATGTATGTCTTCAAGGTCAGTGAAACATAATTTTCTCTTAAAAGTGGTACAAAAGTATTTAAACACTTTTCAATCTATACAGAAGGAGGAAGGAGAAGTATCTTTATTAATAAAGCTTAAAATCAATAATCATAATCATTGAATATTATTATGACAAACCATTGATGGAATAATTAGATCTTCTCCACATTTACATAATTTCACAAATAATGATAAGCCAGTTTCAAATAATTTCACAGAAGACTTTAAAAAAATTTTTTCGAATTATTATTAGAATAACATTCAGGGATATATTTTTGAAATCTGTCAGATGAATTAATATTATACAATTGTGCAAGCTTTTCACCTTTCCCAATGATGTATCTAAGGCAAATAAAATTCCTTTGTATACTATATTCAATTTATCTACCAAAAAAAAAAAAAAAATTTAAATATATATATATATATATAAAATATATATGTTTATAATGTTTATATAATAATAGTAATTACCATTATATTGAAGATTATTTGACCTAGCCCAAATACACCCATTCATTATAACATTTTTAATTGATTGCAATGATTCTATCAACTTTTCATTATTTGTATTTTCTATATAATAACTTGTGTTATATGATGATGAATTAGTAAGATTTGCCATATCATCTATTACCAGATTGATTTTTTGAACATTGTCAATAAAATCATTCCATGATTTTTTATATTTCGTTTCATCAAAAGAATGCAAAGATATTAACATTGCAGTTTCGTCTGGAAAATGATTGAGCTAATTAAAAATTATTATAGTATTATGTCAACTAAAAATTAAGTATATATAAATATATGAAAATGTCTATATAATATAGAAGCATTACTTCAACTATTTCC